TGGGAAATAAACAAAAACGTATACTACGGCGAGTGAGCCAGCGAAATATATGCGCACCCTGCGGACTCTGCTCTACCTTTTGGGCTTATCCTTGCCGCGCCGCTCGCTCGGAGAAGAAACTTGCACAGTCAGGCCAGTCTGCAGCCCTTTCGACCTTATACACACACGCGTATACGTGAAAGACTAATAATAATGACGACAAGTTATGCAGTAGCAGATGTTGCTGCGACGCGCGATCGACGCTAGCTGATGGATTTCGGAAAGGAGAAAATTTGCCGAGGAATTCTGACACGCGCATCGGGCACACGCTGCGTTATTGACATTGCCACGAGATAATTCGCCTCGCTCTCGTGCGCGTTACGTATATGAGAAATTCGTCACTTTGCTCCGAAAAATGTTCTCATAAAAAGTACATTTTCCTGAGAATTTTGCGCGCGCGTAAACGTGCATATAATAGCGAAAAACACGTGCATATCTGCAAATCGAATCGAGCTGTGCTCCTTGAAACGCGTTGCGCCTGCTCTTTAATTTCGGCAATTTCGCATATAGAGTCGAGCTCGTCGCAGCGGGCCGTGCACGCCGCTGACTCGTATCACGCGGCGATTCCCACCAAGCGACACGCTACACAGGTATATATGTAAGACTGGCGCATTGTGTTGCACGCTGCAGCCCAACAAAAATACCAAGTGACTCCGCGGCAGTCTTGGCGACGTAAAATGAAGACAATATTGCAATAGAAGCAGCTGCCATACATCAAACGTGTTCGCGCGTGTGCTCCAATATTGCATTTACGTGCGTAACTTGTCATACTTTGCTTCGGCAACGATGGGTAAAAAGAGTGGGCGAATATTGTAATATGCCAGAGAATGCATCTTGAAGAAATTAATGTTCCCGCGTGAAAAAATATACATGCTGAATATTTTTTATGCAAACGTCTGCTAATGTCTGATAATGAAAAAACAAAACTATACTTGTTGTACTTACAAAGTAATTTTTACTTGACCACTTGCAGACTTACAGATAAAGGTATCTGCCATCTAGCGGTGGTTGCTGGCTTTAATTATGATTGAATTTTCATCAATTGTTTGATCAATTAACGCAAAAAATGAAACCCTTATAGTTCGATGTTTATTTTTAAATTAAAAACTACATGGGGTTTAAAGCTTTTTAATTCTGTGACTCAGTCTATTTATTGAATAAGTTTTGCATACAATTTTTAAATCATTTGTGTACAAAACTACACTTGTATATTTCGTGTAAAATTTTTAAACTAAAAAAAGTCAAAGTTTGCTACATTGTAAGTGTTGAATTGTTGTTTATATCCATTTTAAATTTGATCAAATAATGAATAAGTAATATGATCCGTTTTAATAAAAACTACGATGAACCGTTATTCCGCATAAAGTCAACAATTTTTAAGAATTTTAAACACTCAACACTTCCGCCATAACATCACTATAAACTGATGCGTCGAGCTTGTTTCTTGACGATGCGTATCGATTCGCGCTAAATGTATTCGGTTACAACTTTCTCAACCATATATTGTGTGGAGGCACCTCCGGAGCGACGTAAAGAAAAATTAAAAATACAGTGTGAAACGTTTTTTCAAGATTTCACCTGTCCACGAAGTGCAACGCAACTACGAAGTGAACAAGATTGTTTTACTGAGCCAATTATATATTAGCAAGTGGATAATTTCGATGATAATCGTGATACGAAAATATCAATTATGATTTTATTAACAAGTTGAATTATTCATGGACGCGTGTAAACAGGATTCCTACAAATATAAATTTAAAAAAATGTTCTACAAAATATAATAAATCATTCTGTTCTGCAACAAGATCATTTTTCTGATATAGCTTGTTGATTTTTCATGAATTGATTAGAGACATGTTGAAATTATTGTTAAAGGTTAAAGAAAAATAACAATGCAAGGATATTTTAAATAGAATCACTTAAGATTGGTTTATTATCATACGAAATGTGTCGATGATAATATCTAACTTATCTTGAAAAAAATCGAAAATAGTAAATTTTTGTAAAAAATCGTTTTGAAATTTATTAGAAAATTTTTCTCAGCGTTCGGTGCGCAACTTGAAAGTTGTATCAAGTTTCATGCGCAGAACTTATTATAAATCTGCATGTAGAGGGACAAACAAGCTCGAGCGCGCGTCTAGCAAAACAGCATTAAACCGCTGAAAAATATTCTCACTCCCGTATTCAAAAGTTTTCATCGTGCACTCGTTTCTTCCTCGCGGCCATTGTTTTCGGCAACAAAAGTTCCTCTGATCCTCGCATGTATACCTATATACATAGGAAGAGAGCGAGAGACTGTATATATACGCGGCTTGTATGCGCGGCTGCTACATAGCTCCAGTCCTCTTTCTCTATTGGCAACAGCCGGCGCGTACACATAGCGTGCAGAGCAGTAGCAGTAGCAGTAGCCGAGAGAGAGAGCCCCTTTCCCGCGGTAGCAGCAGCAGCAGCAGCACACACGCGTCAGGATATTAATTTTTCCGGAAGTTGGAGTGAGAGTGAGAGAGACAGAGAAAGAGTCACCCCCGCGCACGCCCGCAACCCGCAACAGACAAGTTTCAATTCATCCAGACTTTCCCTATTCTCCGTAGACTATGGGTATTTTTTCTTTCTCTTTCTGACTCCCTCCCTACTGCACGGGGCTCTGGCGCAAGCTCATACTCCTTCCGAGGAGGATTTCATTTTATACTTGATGAAGAGAATAAACCGCACGCGCTCGAATTCGCATACCAATATATATATCTGCGCGCGCGTATATAGATAAAAGTCAAGGGAAAACTTATCGTTTCTTAATATAATCCCCGCATTATGGCGATTGAGTTCTCTAGTACGGGAATAATGATATTATTCACGAGGCTCGATAATATTGCCGCGCGCTCGCGTCGTTTTTTCTTTACAGCTTATATAAAAGCTCGGCGCCTTCGTTTTTTCTTCTCCTTGCGCGCAGAGAGAAAACCAAATCGCGTATATCGAATCGATGGCGTTGAAAATTCAGCCCCCGTCTGCCTCTCTGCACGTGGGCTCCGTCTGCCAAGGATAGCCTTAATAATGATAGAAAAAATCGCTCGTTATAACATTGTTCTACTGAGCTCGTACGTATGCGATCCCAACGTTTGTTATATGCCCATATGCACGCGTCTGAAGAGCGATTCTCTCGATAATCATACGCAAAGGATAAATCCCGCATATTACTTGCGCGATAATACCAATATTTGCTGAACTGCTTGCGTCGATGCATTTACAATCAATGATCCAGAAAATCGGAATAAGTTGCGCAAACTGCTTGGCGCACACATATAGATCGTACATTATCCAGCGATTTCAATTACGAATACGCATACAACGAGAAACTACTGATTATTATACGTGCAAAGCTCTCAAAGCTTTTAAAGATGCGCTTCCATAAGTAGAAGTAATTGTGAAGAAGCGCGCGCGACGTGTGTCTGAAGCCGGCGCATATAGAAGCTCGAAAGCTCCTCTTTTGGAGCGCAGCAACATCCCCCTCCTGCCGCCGCTCGTTTCCACTCCCCCCGTAAGTCGAGCAGTCAACGCCGATTTAATTGGTCGCGTGCGCTTGTGCTGCTGGCCGCTCGCGCGTCCGCTGCAGATTTGATTATGCCGCTCGATTGGCCCCTGAGTGTGGCTATCGCGCGTCCACTCCTCTCTCTCTCTCTCTCGCTCTTTCTACGCCGCTCACAGGCCGTGCGATATCCTATATACTGCTATTACTACTACTACCGAGTCCGTTGAGAAGCTTTGAAGTCCGTGTCCGATTTTCGCTGCTGTTTCGAGCAGCTATTCGCGCGTTATGAAGGATTAATACCACACCGATCAAAGGATTTCTCGGCTCCTTCGTCCTTTTTCGTTATTATATTAATGCCCGTAGGGCTATCCGTAAAGACCCATAACGCGTGCGAGCGTTGTAGAATATACGAGCGGCTCTCTCGTAATCTTGAGGATTTCCATAGTCAAATTTACAGCGTGAAAATATTCCTCGCAGCAGAATGTCGACTTAATCGATGGCATTTAATAGACGATGGCGCGCGGCATTATCAACGTCGTTAGCTGAAACATCCGCTGTCAGCGCGGCTGGCGACAGATAGTCGTCATGGAAATGAAGCGCTTTCCACCGCGCTTATATACCATCTATCCATCTATCTATACAGCTATATAATATTGTATGCACATTCTGCCGGCTGGTGTATACATAGAATCTGTAACCTTTGCACTGGTTAACTCCCTTGAGAGCTACTACACGCTTCAATTCTCTATCGTTGTATCTTGAACTGGCTCCGTGCGAGAGACCGAATTGCGCGTGGCTTTGTTAAGGACAAATGTGCCTGTAACTGCTCACGATGCGGTCTTAAATTTTTGAAATTACTTGATTGGCACACAATTCAATACGAATTATGCTGATTTTAATAACTGTTACTTTACTTATAAAATAATTTTTACTTTACCACTTGCAGACTTACAGATAAAGGTAACCACCATCTAGCGGTGGACGCAGGCTTTAAATATGATTGAATTTTCATCAATTTTTTTTATTTATCAATGCAAAAAATGAAACACTATTAGTTTGATATCTAATTTTAAATTACAACTGTATAGGTTTTAAAGCTTTTTAATTTTGTAGCTTAGTCTATTTATTGAATAAGTTTTGCAGGTTACCATGTAATTTCATAAATAAAGATCTGCTTAAAACTGGCACATTTTTTATTTGTTGTTAATTCGCAAATAAGTTTGATTCGAAAATTTTCGTAATTAAAGTCATTTATTGAAAATTCAAGACACTACGTAGTCTGCACTTCTGTAATTTTTTCTTTGCATTGCGGTTTGCCATATACTGTGCATGCCAACCACACCTGAGGTTTCTTTATAATTTCACCGCAATATACATCGGTTAAGAATGCGTGCAATGTCACGGCGTTATAAAGTCGGGAAATGACAGTGTCCAAGTGTATTGTTTCATAATATTATTCACAATTTTATACTACAAATAAACTTTCATAAAGATCTGTACATGGCACAATGTACGGGCTATTTTTCAAATAGCTTACAGTACTGGAAATAATTGTTTTGAAATCTTATCACATTTTTAATGACACATTTCTGGGGAAAATTGTTAGTCCAAAAACTTTAAGGAATAGCAACTATTAATCTTTCTTCATTCGGAGAGTTTGCATAGTTTGCCGAAAAAGTTGAGTAGCTAGACGTAAGGGGCAACAAAAAACCCGCAGGATTGTCAAGTTGGTACTGAACCTGCGCCAAAGGTTTAATCGCATTCACCTTTACTCCATCAACATCGGTACTTTGCGGCTTCAATTCGGACGCAGAAACGCTCAGAGACTCGGATGGGATAGATTCCGAGCCAATTTTGATTTCTTGAAGTGGCGCGTATGCATATATGGGTCCACGAAGAGGCTCCACGTTTTCGGCCCGTATCTTGGCAAAATATCGCATGGCTTCGATGTCTTGTTGACTGATGTAACGAACTCGCTGCAGACGTCCATCGGGAAGAGATACATAATATTCGCCTCGTTGAGGCTTCGCGAGCCTAGTCGACTGGCTGGGTTTTTCGGTGTCTTCAACCTCATCGCTGAATTCATCCGAAGTATTTGCTTCTTCCGACTGTATACAAAAAGGGTGATTATATTCTCTCTTTTCAACTGCAAACAAATATATTTTTCAAACTTAAACTTACTTCAGATTGAGCAAGAGCACCGCCCACTGTCGTCGATTCGATTTCCTCGGTCGATGTTGATTCTTCAGTGGTTGTCAATTCTTCGTCCTTGTATTGAGGTCTGGGGCTGTTGAAATTATTTGATTCTGGATTTGGGATTCCAAACCGAGGTGTCTGATACTGGTTAGGTGGCGGTGCACCATAACGACTGTCCGGGACTCGGGGATATTGACTATTATCGTTTCCAAATCGATTCTGAGAATTTTGACTTCCGACCGGATTTCGAGGGCTCGATTGTCCAAAATTGTTTTGTGGAATTCTTGAACCAAAATTGTAAGATGGGTTTCGGGGTCCGAAACGATTATTAGGATTGACGGGTACATTATTTTCGTTTAACGGATACTGATTAGGTACAGCACTGGGATTTCTTGGGCTCGTATTTCTCTGGTCATTTTCAAACTTTGGTTCCCTATTTGAAGTTTGTGGATGCTGTACTCCAAATTCATCTTGACCAGGTTCATTGAATTGATCCTGGATATTGGGCCCAACTCCAAATTGCTGCTTAGCTGGGGCTCTGTACTCATTCTCATTTGCATTGTTAAGCCCAAACGGCTGTTTGGTAGGAGTGTTAAATTCTTGAACGTTAGTCGCACTGGACTGATACGGAGATTGTTTGTTTGGAGAATCAAACTGATTCACTGGTACATCGTACTGGTTGTCAAAGTTAGGTGGGATGTACTGTGACTGTTTTGGAGCATCGTACAGATTCGTAGGATTCGACAGTTTAGATGGTTGCTGAGCACGTGCAGGATTAAAGACGTTTGGATTTGATAAGCTTGGAGGAGTAAGCTCTTGTTGCGGAGCAGGGGCGAATTGTTGATTGTTTGGAACGTTGAATCTGCCTTGAGCAGGCACTCCATACTGATTATCAAAATGAATATTGGGTCGCTGCACTGGAGGACCATAAGTTTCTCGGGGATCAGGGAATTGTTGGCTAGGTGCACCATACACACGACTCGGTTCACGGTACTGCGATTGAACTTGCGGCTGAACATTGACGCGTGGCGAGTCGGCCGGTATAGCTGGTGCAAGGTCGATTTCAATCTCGAAAGGACCGAATTGCGACGACGGTTGTTGTCGTTGTTGTTGATCAACGGGGCCAATGTTCTGCGGATAACGAACGTTCACACTCGGCTGATTCTGACGTCCGGGCAAGTCGAAAGACGGACCGTCCGGTTTCCATCCTCTCGGGGCATAAGGAGCGGATTGCCCGGATGACGGTTGGGCAACGAAGTATCGCTGACGACCGACCGGAGTTTCGGCGAAAATCGTCGTTGCGAAAAACGCAACAAATATCAATACCTGCAACACAGATCACAACAATCAATTATCCATATTTTGATGAAATTTTATTCGTTCAAAAAAATCACAGATTTTACTCGAGCAAAAGTGAAAAGAAAAAAAAATTGTTGGCACGATAATGTCTCGTTAAAAAAATTCACTCGCGTATTGTGTACCTTCATGTTTCTCTCGACGCACTGTCTCGTAATGTAATGCTGGACACCGACTGATTGCCGCAGTCCAACGAGTCTTGAATTTATATAGACTCGGCCGTTGTCTCGACGCTGCACTTGTTTAGCATTCTTAATACGACTGGTGCGCGTCACGCACTCCATCCGTCCGTATGCGCCTCGCGCACTTACGCATCTCTGACATTGGCCTGCTAAAAGAAACGATCCAGTATACGATAGCGCGATAAGTCTTCAGAGACTCCGTTCGTAGGTTCGTTTATGAATTATAAAAATGGATTTTAGCTGTTAGATCGTTCCTATAGTTTGTGAAGACAGGTGTAAAAATCCAAAAAAATTCTGCTGACTTTTTATTTATTAAAAAGCCGAACGATCAGCTCTTGTAACTGCGATGGCTGAAGGGAAGTGATTGATATTCCGAGCGCGAATTTAATGCCGAGAAATGGTTTTAGTCGTTTATAATGTGAGCCTCGGCAAGCGCAGCATATGCATGGAACAAGGTGAAAGGGAGCACATCATAAGTGCCATATATGTGAAATTTTTCACTTCATTCGCGTGCACGTACAGCAAGCGCTCGCAGTTTATTAACAGTTTTGTAAGCGGTGTGCATTTTTTGGCACTCGAACTGATTGAATAATACCCGCACAATTTACTCAAATAGATCGAAGAACGAAAAATCAAATAGAGTGGAGTGACGATACAAACTTGCATTCGTCACTTAAGCAAACACTCACCGGACATATTATTGTTTATTACTGTTAACTGCAAAAAAACAAGTCGAAATCTAAATAAAGTCGATCAACAAGGTGTCGATAAACGAATATAAATCAATTGGCTAAACAATAGCTTTTAAAAGATATCCATTACCCATACGCTAAGTGAAAAATCTATCACGCTGACCCAGGTTTAATCAAATAAATAAGATAATCCTTTTCATATGAAACGCGTGCACGTACGAATGAAGTTCTGATATATCCACTCCCTCTCGACTCTACTCGTACATCGATGTTGTTATTGTTTCCTCTCGAGCTCACATACACGGCCGATTACGTAGGTGTAATTTAAGCACGTATACACATCGAATGGCTGCTATGCAGTTATTATTATAATCCACACTCGATGCAAATCATGCGTCCTCACGACAGGCTAGTAGTAGCGCAGCCCGAACAAGCGCAAGGATAAACGCGCGCCACATAATGAAAGTTATTAATGCGAGAGACCATTACGAGCCTGGCAACAATGAGAAAAAGCAAAACGTTTTAGAAGCAGATAATACACGAGTCTGTAGTTAGTTTAAGAGACCATCTTGTCGAGTATCATTCTCATGGTAAATCCGCTTTATTTTTTTTACCTACACGCAATTCGATCATCGAATGATTCAGCTCTCTGGCACCGACGAGATTGTTATAAATAAGACGTTCTATCAGGACCTCGGATTTGAGGTGACGATCGTCGTAGAATTACCAATGTATCAAACTGACTTTGTAAAAGGTGTGTTCGCGAACTGTGCGTTGACGTACGCGATTCTCATAGTCGACCTTGCACATTTACAAACGACTACGAGAGGAGACTGTTTAAATCACTTGAAATATTTCTTCTCTCTCATTCGTGCAACACATAACGTCGGTGATTCTTTTTTACAACTGAAAACATGTATAATATGTGCCTCGTATACCATACGCGACATTAGTCGCAAGTGCAATACTCTGGAATAAAGGCCCTGACGCTAGTCCATAATAATAATACTCGGGCGTCTAATCTGTGAGCAGTGAGCTTGACATTTATTATTATATACATTCCACTTAATTATATGCAGCGAATGTTGCGCATGAAATAGAATATACAGAGATTTCGATTACACGCACTTTCCGTAATGTACATAGGAGGCATATACTCACGTATCCACCTGGTGTCTGATCCCATTGGAGCAAATTATTACGGTGAATCAGCGACTATGAATATACAATGATGCGCCATCTCGTCCGCATTAACAGCCAAGTGTCATATTGCATATTTGAGACGAGTTAACAACTTTATCAGGATCGTTCCTGTTGTGACTTATATGGGTAATTATGAGCATTGTTGTTTACAGCGCAATTGTGTACTAAGCCATCTTCAAGACGTAATTAACATAGAATCGAATGACACTCAGTTTCAGAGAAATTATTTCACAACAGCTATTGAAATGTCTAATAGAAAAATATCGTTGCAATTCTAAATCTCACGGTAACTTTTAGAAATGCATTTTTGCCATACAAGGGTTATATATTACTATGACAATGAGTTCCCTTACAGCATGATAATATTATTAAACTGTTCACCCGAATTCATTTCGACCATTACCAAAATAAACATTCAAACATCGTGTGATTCTCATTCTGAAAGGCTGGAGAGTCGGCTTCTGTCGAATTGCTAGTCGAAACATTGTTTTCTTAAGATTCATCGACCTCTTTATCGCGTTTATGCAACGTTACGCAGACAAACGCATGCGATATATGCAGCTGTTACATATAGCGAGGTGAAAGTGTCGCGCTCGATTTGCGATCAACACGTTATACACGCAGTATATACACGCGCAAAAGCCCTCTATCTTATACGTACGTACACGGTGCGCCTGCAAAGAGGAAAAAAAGTACGAGCAGTCGAAACAAAGTCATTTCTCTCGACCGAAATGATCATCTTTCGTCGCTGCTACAAGAGAGAGAGAGAAGTCGAGAGAGAGAAAAGCTCGATGCCGCGCCAGAGAAAAAGCAGTTTCACTTTTGTGTTTTCCGGTCGGTCGAGGCACACATACATACACATATTCACCCTGTCAGTATGTTTGTGTATGTGTACGTACAACAACGTCTAACTATAAGCATAGAAATCTCGGCAGCATGCGAGTTTGAAGGTATAGTAGGTAAACGTAGTCTGGGCGAGCTGGTTGCTACTGCTGCTGCTGCTGCTGCTGCTGCTGCTGCTGCTGCTGCTGCGGGGCAAAGCAAATTATTCACACTCAAATGACTCCATTTCAATATCGGCCCGAAAGAGAGACAGTGAGAGAAGGAGAACGAACGAACGAGGGACACAAAAGAAGGGCGAGATGTCTGCTGCTACTGGCCGTGTGTCTCCCTCTTCTGCAAAAAGCACCCGCTTTCATATATGTATATATTTCTTCTCTTTTTTGATCTCTCTAACTTTCTCTCTCGCTCTTTAACACACACATACACAAGAGTATACGCGTAAGCACGCACAGCTATGTACTGAAGGCTCACCTATTCGTATACGTACATGTGTACATGTACTTGTACTTGTTTTTCCTCTCCTCGGCTGCTTTCTTTTTTCCACCCTATTTTTGTCTCAAACGCGCGAGCGCACGTACACATACTCGCACACGCACGCCGGGCTTGCATACACACATACACACATAAAAGTGTGCAAAAGCGAGATAGAAAAAAGCCAGAATGTACGTGTGTACGGCGATATGTCAGGGTAATGTCAAAGTTACGAGAGAGAGAGAGAGAAAAATGTTATTGTTGCAGCGTTGCTGTGTGCCTTGCACAGTTCGACATGTATTTGCGAGATGCACGAGAAAGAGAGAGAGAGGATATTTTTTTTCATTCCTCTTTCTTTTTTTGGCGGCAATGCGATGCGCAGCAGAGTCTCGTACGTACTTCTACCAGCGTATTACGAGTGATTAGCCTTTAAAAGTTTAAAAGACAGTGATTATATTGGCCGCTGCTACGGCGAAGAATTCCTCGATCTCCCGAGTGAGCCGGTAATTCGAAAAATATCAAGATTATAATTTGGTAGGTAGAAAAACATCTGCTAGTACGCGCAGCAGGTTCATCGTCTACAAAATGTTTACAATGAAAATATTATCGATCTATCGCGCTTAACGCTCATTTGATTTTAATTCGACTATGATAGTATTCATTTCGCAAACAATGATGGAAAACGTGGACGGAACAGCAGCAAAAAAAATATAGTGAGTTATATGCTAAGCCAAATCCAAGCGCACATCTCGCTCGCTCGCGCGTCTGGAAAGGGCGACTTTTGTGCGGATTCGAGCTTAAGCCTATACCCACGCTCGCTCTCTGTACCTACACTTACTCTCTTTGCGCAGAGTCGGGGTAGTAGCAGCAGCAGCAGCAGCAGTACCGGTAGCTCAGCCAGTGAACGAGTAAACTGGATTAATCGTCTATAAAGGGGCTAAAACACAGCATTGTGTGTGCACATACATATAGATATACACGTATGAACTCACGTAGCACACGCGGTAGCAGTAGCAGCGAGCGTAGAATCGAGGGGGTGGCTGGCGCATTTGTTTGCTCAATCGGATATAGATACACACACGACGTGCGCTCGTGTATGTGTGTGTGTGTGGGTGCGCGCGACCAGTGGACCAACTTGTACCGCAGCCTGTATGGTCCCTCGGGGCTTTTCCACTCCCGCGAAAATCTCTCGGGCTATTTGTAATGAGACCTGCGGCTCTGGGCTGTCGTTGATGCTCCTCGTGTTCACGGGATTGTTTCGGTGCGGCTTTGGAGATTATACACTGCTGCTTCGCTCTGCAAGCTGCGATGAGTGGCGCTATTGGGATGACATTGCAATTGACGCGTTGCCAAAATTCAAATATTTAATCATAATTATACGTATCTTTCGTGAGAATATTTTAGTCGCGTAGTAAGTTTAAAAACGAAATAATGCATGATGATTGCGATATTGCGTCTCTAGCATCGGCTCGGGAAACGCAAAAAGGCGAACTGCCAAATGTCGCTGATTTACCAGAGGACCGATAAAATATTTGCTCTCTTTAAAATTTCATTCGTAATAAAAATTTAAATTATTTAACGTGTAATGGTCAAGTCACACTCGTGTGTAAGCCCTCTAGAAAAATCATTAGTTTATGTATGCACGACTGAGCATCGTCGCGAGGCTGCACTAGAACGTTTGTGCGCGCGCCGAGTGTTTGCTAATGCGAAAACGAAACGACGCGTAAAATGTACGAGGAAAATTTGCAAATTTTACCTATTGTCACAACTCG